ACATAAAAGAAAATGTATTGTAGCTTAAATCGATAATGTTTGGTAAAGAGAGGCCAATTCTTGTGTATTATATACATGTATTCATATGCTTTTTAAGTAATTTCGTATCTCAAATTAAACATTCTCACATCACATAAACCATTATTTTGTAATTATATATATTCATGTCATGTGTCATTTATGTATTATATGTTGTATTTGTATATTTAATATGGTGATGAGCTTTTTATGCTTAAACCAAGTAATAAAGTTTCTGTTCTGTTCTGGTAATTGAAAATAAGTACTGCATAACCCAAACTCAGCCCAATTTTATTGCTTAATGATTATGTTACGGTCAAAGAAATTTTAGGTAATCATTCAATCAAAACCATAATTTTTCATATGTTTATTCATTAAAGTTATTCTTTGCTGATTCTATTTGTAAAATATTTTGTTGATTTAAGTGGTCAGCATTTGCTTCACAAATTTATGTGGTCGGCATGATTTTATAAAATATGTTTTCCTGAATGTTAAGAGCGTTTAATTAATTAATTAATGAACTAAACAAAGAAACAATCTTTTTAGAGCTAATTCTTAATAAACTGTATGTAAAATTTACGGCTAAATGATCGACATTTTATTTATTTTTTGTGTAATATATCTAAAGAGGGTCATTTGTAGCCGAATGAGAATTCCTTTATTCATTGGTAATTGAAAATAACTGCATAAGCCAAACCCCGCCCAATTTTACAGCTAAATGATTATGGTACGGTCTAAGAAATTTAAAGTAATCATCCAATGAATGAATGAATGATTGAATGAATGAATAGATGAGTGAGTGAGTGAGTGAATGAATGAATGAAAAAATGAATGAATGAAAAAACGAGTGCACTCACTCACTCACTCAATCACTCACTCACTCACATCTCACTCAATCACCAACTCACTCACTCACTTCATATATTTTCCGGAATATGATATTCTTTTATATGTAAGATCACCATATTATGACTACATTTTCTAAATTTTATCCAATATATATCACTTTATATATATTTACTATATTTTAAGTAAAATTTTTAATCATATTTTCACAAGTGGATCTTATCCAACCTCATGGAATAAAGCAATTATTGTACCTGTCCCGAAAAAAGGGGATCCCGGTGAAGTAAATAATTATAGGGGTATTGCGCTTACAAGTATTTTTTCAAAAATTTTCTCAGTAATCCTGGATAATAGACTTCGAAAATGGTCAGAGGTCAATAATTTATTAACAGATAATCAGTATGGATTTAGGAATAGTAGAAGTACTATTGACTGCATATTTGTACTAAATTCTATTATTGATAAGATTATTAAACGTGATAAAAAGAAATTGTATACTGCATTTGTAGATTTCCGCAAGGCATTTGATTTAACATATAGAAATGGTATTTGGTTCAAATTAATTGACACTGGTGTCTCAGGTAAAATGTTAAAAATTCTAAGAAGCATGTATGAGGGTGTGAAATTATGTGTACGTAATAATGGCTCGCTAACTGACTTTTTTGATAGTTACATGGGCTTGAAGCAAGGGGAGCCATTATCTCCCTTTTTGTTTATTATGTTTATTAATGATATGCAAGATCACTTAGCTGACGATAGTATAGATGTTTTTACCATTGAGGAATTACAAATTTATTTGTTGTTGTTCGCAGATGATACTGCTTTATTTTCATACTCTGAACAAGGTTTACAAATTCTACTTAATAAATTGTATAATTATTGTAGGAAATGGGGTATTGAAGTTAATTCAGATAAAACAGTTGTAATGGTTTTTAGACAAGGAAATAGACCTTCAAATATATCGCTTAAGTATGACAATAAAATTTTAAAACAAGTTAAAACATTTACTTATTTAGGAGTAACGCTATCATCTAATGGAAGTTTTTATCAAGCTCAAAAATCATTGTCTGTCCAAGCTTTAAAGGCTCTTTATTCTTTGAACTCCCTTTTTGATAATGTTAATTTAGATATTGAAGATAAATTAAAACTCTTTAATTCAATGGTATTACCAATTTTATGTTACGGATCTGAAATATGGGGTTTCCATAAATCTCCGGACATAGAACGTGTTTACTTAAAATTTCTAAAACAAATACTTGGTGTTAAACAACAAACATGCAGTACTGCAGTTTATGGAGAATTTGGTGTATTTCCTTTATATATAGTACGTAAAATTAGAATAATTAAGTTTTGGTATAAGATTAAAAATATGCCTGACTCAACTATGTATAAATTAATAATGTTGCAGGGACGAAATAATACATTGTTAAATAGCTGGTCATGTAATGTAAAAAAGTTATTAGATGACCTTGGTTTTTCTTACCTGTGGAATTGTGATAGAATATCTGAAATGAATGTTAAATTAATTATTCAAAGAATCCATGATCAATATTTACAACAATGGTTATCTGAATTAGGCTCATCTTCTAAATTAGATTATTATAGAGAATTTAAGTTAAACTTTATTCAAGCTAGTTATTTAAATACTGTTAATGTCGAGGCACATATGAAAGCACTAGCGAGATTTAGATGTTCATCACACAACTTAGAGATTGAAGAAGGTCGATATAGGAATATTATTAGAAGCGAAAGATTATGTAGAAGATGTAATATGAATCAAGTTGAATCAGAGTATCATTTTTTGTTAATATGTCCTTTTTACAGAGAATTACGTTTAACTCTTTTAGATAATTATTCTTACACATGGCCTAATATGAATAAATTCAAGAAGCTTATGTCAACACCCAAAAGATCTGTTATAATAAAACTTGCAAAATTTGTCTATCTGGCTTTAAAGAAGAGAAACGAGAGTGTTGTTGTTTAAAAAAATATGTATTTCTTTAAACTATTTTTTCATATTTTTGCTGTATATTATTAGATATGTTAAATATGACATGTCTTGTATTGTATGCGTTTATGTGTACTTAAAACTGCCCATCTTTAGTTAAAACATGAACATGTAACACGAATTATATATTTTCATACTTTTCAATATTATATTACTTTTGTTAATATAACCGCCAATTATGTGTGGCGAAAAACATGTATATATGTTTATGCTAATAAATACTTTGACTTTGACCTATCACATGGAAGACATTTCATTAACATACTGAAATAAAATAATTTAACAATAGAAATTGAGAAATATATGAATTATTATTTATATATCAATATTTATTATTTGTAATAGTGTCATCTTGAAAAAACGTCTTATCAAGCATCTCTCGACCTCGCCTAGAACAACACTAATAGCTAGTTGACACCTAATTGACATCTTCAATGTTTTTCCTTCTTTATCTAACTTGTCAGCAGTTTTCGATAACGCTTCTTTATTTAAACTAGTTAGCAGTTTCTTATATAAATTATCATATATATCATCATTCGTCAGCAGTTTAGTATTACATCAAATCGGCCCGTGCAAAAATCGGCTCTAACACGTTTCGGCCCATATTTTGTCTTTATTTAGTCCGGGAAGTACATAAAACTACCTTAAATATTAATATATATTACCTTCCAATTGGATTAATTTCCATTCCTTTTAAATTGGAATTAATTCCAATAGGATTTATTTCCAATAAAAAGTATTGGAAAAAACTCCAACTGGAATAATGTCCAGTTGGGTTTTATTCCAATCGGATTTTTTTCCAGTTAAATTTAATGGAAAAAAATCCGATCGGATTTTCCGAAAAATGCTTAAATAGACGTTATTTCAACAAGAAAATGCATACAAATACATATTAAGCATGTGTTTATGTATTTCGACAATTTCATAAAAATTGAAATTCCCGTTGGAATAAATAATAATGTTGGAATAAATTCCAATTGGAATTTAAATAATTCCGCCCGGACAGCATAATTCCGATCGGAATACATGAAATTCCGCCCGGACAAATTTTTTAAAATACAATTTTTGATAAGAAAAAAATTAAAAATAGCTTTAAATGAAGTCAATTATTAATAATTAACATTAAATCTATCGGATGAAATGATTTTTGAGTGTTTAGGGCAAGTATAAATGGTAGTGAAGTTTGCCACTATCCCGGTGGTGCAAAGATTTTCCGGTGGCTGTTTTTATAGAATTGTGTTAACTATTTATAGAATTGCGTGATTTTATTTATAGAATTGGGGTGTTTCTAATTTTAGAATTGGGTGTTTCTATTTATAGAATTGTGTGTTTCTATTTATAGAATTGCGTGTTACTTTTTATAGAATTGCGTGTTTCTATTTATAGAATTGCGTGTTACTATTAACAGAATTGCGTCTTTCTATTTATATAATTGCGTGTTTCTATTTATAGAATTGCAAGTTCCTATTTATAGAATTGTGTGTTTCTATTTATAGAATTGCGTGTATTCATATATATATATATAAATGAGTATATTTATATATACAAAATAGATAAACAAAACTAATGTGACAAGACAGACGGATTAAATTTATACAAAGGAAACGTTAAGATTTGTTCAAACCTTTCTGTGTTTCTATTTATAGGATTGCGTGTTTCTATTTATAGAATTGCGTGTTACTATTTATAGAATTGCGTGTTTCTATTTATAGAATTGCGTGTTACTATTAACAGAATTGCGTCTTTCTATTTATAGAATTGCCTGTTTCTATTTATAGAATTGCAAGTTCCTATTTATAGAATTGTGTGTTTCTATTTATAGAATTGCGTGTTTCTTTTCATATATATATTTTCATATATATATATAAATGAGTATATTTATATATACAAAATAGATAAACAAAACTAATGTGACAAGACAGACGGATTAAATTTATAAAAAGGAAACGTTAAGATTTGTTCAAACCTTTCTTTCTTTGCTTTTAGAAAAAGTACAAAGTCGAGTGTTGCCCCCGCCCGGCGGTGGCTCTTGTATTTTGCATGGTGATTGGTCATAACAAGTTGATGACTCCTTTTGATTTTGGGGTCACTAGGTCAAAGGTCAAGGTCACAGGGGCCTTTTGCTGATTATCTTGAAAAGTATTTATCAAAAAGTCTTAATATTTCACATATTGATTGGTCATAACTAGTAGATGACCCCTATTGATTTTGGGGTCACTAGGTCAAAGGTCACAGGGACCTTAAATGTCTGAATGGTTTCCGCTGATTATTCATCATAAGTCTACATTTTTTCACATATTGATTGGTCATAGATAGTAGATGACCCCTATTGATTTTGGGATCACTAGGTCAAAGGTCAAGGTCACAGGGGCCTTGAACGGTTATATGATTTCTGCTTATTATCTTGGTTTCTATTTATCACAAAGTCTTCATATTTCACATATTGATTGATCATGTTTGTTTGTTTGGGTTTTACGTCACATAGACACAGTATAGGTCATATTGGGAAGTTCCAGCTTTACTGGTGGAGGAAGACCTCAGGTGCCCTTCCGTGCATTATTTCAGGCACGAACAGGCAACTGAGTAGAACCACCGACATTCCGTAAGCTAGCTGGATAGCTTCCTCACATGAAAGAATCCAAAGTCCTTGTGGGGATTCAAACCCACAGCGATGAGGGGTAAGTGGTTTGAAGTCAACGACCTTAACCACTCAGCCACGGACGCCCCTTTGATAGGTCACAAGGGCCTTAAATGTCTCATTATCTTGAAAACTATTTATCACGGACGCCCCTTTGATTGGTCATAACTAGTAGATGACCTCTATTGATTTTGGGGTCCCCAGGTCAAAGATCAAGGTCACAGCGTCTTTGAATGGTAGTATGATTTCAGCTCATTATCTTGAAAGATAAGTATCACAAAGTTGTCATATTTCGTAGTGATTGGTCATAACCAACAGATGATCAGTATTGCTTTTGGGGTCACTAGATCAAAGGTCAAGGTTACATGGGCCTATAATGTCAGAATGGTTTTCGCTGATTTATAATCTTGAAAACTATCTATCACAATGTCTTCATATTTCACATACTGATTGGTCGTAACTAGTAAGTGACCCCTATTGATTTTTGGGTCACTGGGTCAAAGGTCAAGGTCACAGGCTTCTTGAATGTTAGTATGGTTTCTGCTCATTATCTTGAAAGCTTTTTATCACAAAGTCTTCATATTTTAAATATTGATTGGTCATAACTATTAGATGACCCCTATTGAGTTTGTGTCACTAGTTCAAAGGTCTAGGTCACAGGGGCCTTAAATGTCTCATTATCTTGAAAACTATTTATCACAAAGGGTTCATTATATTTCTTTTTTTCCATAATTGAACACTGCCATGTACACATGTATGGCAAGTATCTCTAACAAAATTACCAATAATGTGAGTCAAAGGCTAGAAAGGGGGCATATGTGTTGTTTGACATTTCTTGATGGCTTTGATTTTAAGATTTGTGCATTAGTTTAGGGGCATATGTTAACCAACCACATTTTCTATTCTGTTGTTCTTTTCTGTGAAAACCCCCTTTAAGTTCAACTGGATGCAATTTAAGAGCAGAAAGGTATATGTAATGAGGTATAATGTAACATTCATTTAGAATCACCATCTTTTTTATCAATGATTGTAAAATCTATTGAGGTTTGTTCATTATTTCAGCAAAACATGGATGATGCTTTTGATGGTGAAGATGAACCACTGCTACCTGACTCAGATAAAGAAGATGAAACCCAACGAAGAGTTCCTGTGGAAGTTCATGATACAATACCTCATCCCAATAAAGAACAAGGGGATAATGATAATAAGAATTATGATGATATAAATGGTAATGATGTAAATAGAGGAGAGGTATTTGATAGTGTCCATGATGAAAATGTAAAAATAGGTGGACATAAAAATAATGAAACAAGTCTAAAATCAGACAAAGTTAAAGATAGCTCTTCAGATGAAAGAAAAATTGAGACAGATAAACCTGCCACTATACAGCTTTCAGGAACAGAAAGAAAAGAAAAGTCAACTAAGGAAAAATTAAAAAGACGGGTATCAAAATCACATGAAAGCTTATGTCGAAACATGGATGAATACAAAAGTAAGATTCCCCTTGCTTTATTGCCCACATTTGTAAAGTAATTTTGATGTGTTAAATTACTTGGTGATATCTTTGCATTTATTTGCATTTGAATGAAACATTGTCTGCTAGACCTCTTCAAAAATTGGTCAAATTATTGCCCTCAGGTCAAAATTGGCCCCATCCTTTGGGAACCTAGATTTTCATATATGTATACATGTATATAGAAAAAACTTTAAAAAAAATTTTCTCTAAATTTTCAAGAGCTTAAGTAGCAACCAGTGACTTCACAGCGAACATTTACTTTCCATAGCAAAGAGTGTATCTACCATTGAATTTCATAGTGGGTACTGTATGTATGTATTCTAGGCTTAATGAGGGTCCATCAGCCCATTTACGCACTGAGAGTATGGACTCGGGACATGTCACCATTCATGTCCTTAAATGTTAAAGATTCTGCAAATGATATAGAACAGATCATTTTTATGCTTTTTTGCCTTTTTTAATGAGGGTAGCATAGCGGGTACTGACTTCCAAGAAAACCATTTATTAGTCCCCTACTGGTTTAACCAGAGGGGACTTTAGGTTTACCCTCCGTCTGTCCGTCTGTCTGCACTTACAGGACAGTAATTATGTGGCTAGAGGGACAATAGATAACTGTTTTTTCTCTTTGATCATGATGTCATTCATTCCGTAATGCTTTTATGTGGCTATTCTTTTGTGTGGCTAAAAAGAACAATAGAGAGAACAATAGAGTAGCCACATTATTACTCTCCTGTTAACTTCCGTTCTTCAGTCTGTCCATCCACAAAATTGGATCCCATGATAACATAAAAAGTACTGAAAATATTTTTATGAAACTTGATATATTGATAGATGGCAGTCTGGAGATTATGCACGTCTTTTTCTTTTCTTCCTATGTTGAAAACTTTGGTTACTCTGGCAACAAATAGACTGAAAATATGGCCTGAAAATATGGCGAATTTAACACATAAACTTGATCCCGCTTTAGTCTGAAGATTATACATGTCTTTTTCTTTTCTTCGTATGTTGAAAAATTTGGTTCATATGGCAACAAAAAGGCTTAAAATATGGCAAATATAGCATTATTTATTATTACTCAAAAAGAAGTGAAAACATTTTTATGAAACTGAAAAATATATGTTTCTGATCATCAACCTCATCGTATGTGACAAGGTTTACAACTGTAGCACAACAAATTTCAGAATTACCCCCCTTGAACTTAGAATTTTCATGAAAAAAAAATTTTTTTTATAACTTCTTATTTCATAATGTTTCTACTATAAACTTCATATATATGTGTCTTATTATTACTCAAGTCATTTGGGAGGAGGTTCAATACTCTAGCTTGACTATTTCCAGAATTATGCCCCCCTTGAACTTTTTTTAGCTCACCTGTCACAAAGTGACAGGGTGAGCTTTTGTGATCGCTTTTCGTCCTGCGTCCATCCTTCCATAAACTTTTACTTTAAATGACATCTCCTCATAAACCACTAAGCCAATTTTATCCAAACTTCACATGAATGTTCCTTTGGTGGTCACCTTTGAACATTGCTCAAAGAATTTAATTCCATGAAGAACTCTGGTTGCCATGGCAACCAATAGAAAAAACTTTAAATATCTTCTTCTAAAAAATCCAAAGAGCTAGAGCTTAGATATTTGGCATGAAACATCTTCTAGTGAGTGTCTACCAAATTTGTTCAAATAAAAGCCCTGGGGTCAAAATTGGCCCCGTCCCAGGGGGTCATTGATTTTCCCTGTATGCATATAGTAAAACCTTAAAAAATCTTCTTTAAAAGAACCCAAAGACCTAGAGCTAAGATATTTAGCATGAAACATCCTCTAATGGGTGTCTACCAAGTTTGTTCAAATAAAAGCCTTGGGGTCAAAATTGGCCCCGCCCCAGGGGGTCATTGATTTTCCCTATATGAATATAGTAAAAACTTAAAAATCTTCTTTTAAGGAACCCAAAGAGCTAGAGCTAATATATTTAGCATGAAACATGTTCTAATGGATGTCTACCAAGTTTGTTCAAATAAAAGCCCTGGGGTCAAAATTGGCCCCGCCCCGGGGGTCATTGATTTTCCTTATATGTGTATAGTAAAAACTTAAAAATCTTCTTGTAAAGAACCCAAAGACCTAGAGCTAAGATAATTAGCATGAAACATCCTCTAATGGGTGTCTACCAAGTTTGTTCAAATAAAAACCCTGGGGTCAAAATTGGCCCCGCCCAGGGGGTCATTGATCTTCCCTATATGCATATAGTAAAAACTTAAAAAATCTTCTTTTAAAGAACCCAAAGACCTAGAGCTAAGATATTTAGCATGAAACATCCTCTAATGGGTGTCTACCAAGTTTGTTCAAATAAAAGCCCTGGGGTCAAAATTGGCCCCGCCCCAGGGGGTCATTGATCTTCCCTATATGCATATAGTCAAAAATTAAAAAATCTTCTTTTAAGGAACCCAAAGAGCTAGAGCTAAGATATTTAGCATGAAACATGTTCTAATGGATGTCTACCAAGTTTGTTCAAATAAGAGCCCTGGGGTCAAAATTGGCCCTGCCCCGGGGGTCATTGATTTTCCTTACATGTGTATAACAAAAACTTAAAAAATCTTCTTTGAACAAAAAAAATAGTTAGAGTTTAGATACTAAGCTTGAAACATCTTCTAGTGAGTGTCTTCCAAGTTTGTTATAATAAAAGCCCTGGGGTCAAAATTGGCCCCGTTCTGGGGGTCATTCATTTTCCTTATATGTGTATAAAAAAACTTAAAAAATCTTCTTTGAAAAAACTCAAATAGCTAGAGTTTAGATATTAAGCACGAAGCATCTTCTAGTGAGTGTCTACAAAGTTTGTTCAAATAAAAGCCCTGGGGTCAAAATTGGCCCCGACCCGGTGACATTGATTTTCCTTATATGTGTATAGCAATAACTTAAAAATCTTCTTTGAAAAAACCGGAATAGCTAGAGTTTAGATATTAAGCATGAAACATTTTCTAGTAAGTGTCTACAAAGATTGTTCAAATAAAAGCCCTTGGGTCAAAACTGGCCCTGCCCCAGGTATGTCATTGTTTTTAACTATATGTGTGAAGAAAAAACTTGTCCAGCTAGACCTTAGATGTTTAGCATGAAACATCTTTTAATGGGTGTCTACCAAGTTTGTTCAAATAAAAGCCCTGGGGTTTAAACTTGCCCCGCTCCGGGGGCCTATATATAGGTGAGCGATTTCAGGGCCATCATGGCCCTCTTGTTTCTAGAAATTATGATATTTTACTTTTCTATTCCCACATCATAACGGTTCTAAATTTAGTGTCTAAAGTTCCAGAATTATCTTTTCCTTAAACTTTGAATTTTTCTTACTCATTCTTTAATTTTTTTTATTTCTCTATGGATTTACTTCAAATTTAAAAAAAAGACATTCATGATCAAGACCTATATCGTACTTCATATGTGATTAGATTTATAAGACATGGGTTTCCATGATTATTTTCATTTCAACTTGAAATTTACTTGAATTTTTCTTTTAATTTTCTTTTAATGCCCCCACAATGTGGGAGCATATAGCGTTGCACTTGTCCGTCCGTCCGTCAGTCCGTCCGTCCGTATGTCCCGAAATCTTGTGAACGCAACTCCTCTTAAACCGGATGGCAGATTTTGCTTTAACTTACAGGGATGAACAACCTTAAGGTGTGGATGGTAGTAAAGGAAGGAATTTTTGCTGTGACCAAATTTTACAGAATTATGGCCCTTTGTTGATTTTTTCACTATATACTATGTAGAAATTTTGTGAATGCAACACCTCTTAAACCGGATGGCAGATTTTGCTTAAACTTCCAGGGATTAACAACCTTAATGTGTAGATGGTAGTAAAGGAAGGAATTTTTGCTGCGACCAAATTTAAAGAATTATGGCCCTTTATTGATTTTTAGTTTTCAACTTGTGGCACATGTAGTCCAAAAAATATTTGACCTAGAGTCATAAGATTGACAGAACAGTGGCGTGTGGGGGCATCCGTGTCCTATGGACACATTTCTAGTTTGTTTCTATAAATGGTATATTTTTAAAAAAAAAAAATTTCACTTTTCTTTTTGTGACTTTAAATGGTATGTGCTTTAAACTTGAGATAATTGTTCTTTGTTACACTCACATCATGTATGACAATCTTTATTTCAAGAGTTATCTCCTCTTGAAGAAACTTGCTTTTAAAAATGTTATATTCTGGTAACAACCAGGGATGTTTAAAGATTTATCCTCAGAGTCTCTGTCAGTTGGTCTGTCTGTCCGTTTCTAAAAACTGTTTCCTTAGATCACTTTTAAAGACATTGTAACTTTTCCAACTTTACTTAAAATAGAGAAAAGTTGAAACATCAGTTATACATATTCATCCTGAAAAAATTGGATCTTTTGATTATCTGGTCTATAAACATAATTAGGGAAACATTAACATATTGCTTAGATACAGACAAACTAAGAACTCAAAAGATTTACGTTTATTCATGTCATTTCATTCATTCAGTTGTATAATTCAATGACCAATGGCCCTTCAGAATGTTGCTGGGGTTCTTACCGGTAGGGGACTTATGGATTGCTTAATTGCAATACTATGATAATTACTTGTTTTGTATAGCAAACAAATGACCTTTTATCATTTATGTAACCTTTGTTTTCCCTCTTGAAGCAATAGTAACTAGTAATGTTATACATGTGCACTATTTTAGAAACAAATATGATCTTTCTGATATTGGTTTAAGATTTAGATTTTATGTCATCTTTTATTTATAGTTAACAATATTAATTTTTCCTTGTCATGACGAGTTTTAATATTCAGTCTCACTCAGATAAGCGATATTAAGGCCATTATGGCTCTCTTCATTTGCTGTATTTGGCTAGCTCCTGTCATGAAGTGACATGGTGAGCTTTTATGGTGAGCAAATTGTCGTCCAAAGTAAACTTTTACTTTTTCCTTGTCGTTGATATTATTTATATTCAGATGAGCGATATAAGGGACATCATGGCCTTCTTGTTAATAAATGGATTGACTTATTAAGATATAATATTCTTTTGGATACCAACTTCATGTATATCAACCAAAATTGTCTTTGACCATGAATGTTAAATTGTTGAATTTTCACTGATTTTTCGTAAAATTTGCTGTAACCTCGCATGTAATGAATGGATTATCAAAACAACCTTTTATATGCCAGTTTCAATTTTTGCTGAGAGCATATCTCTTACAAGCATGGAGGAATTTTAATGAGGCTTCATAGAAATGTTCACCACTATGATAAGCTGTGTAACTTGGCACAAATGTTCACCATTGTGAGGCTTATTGCGCACATAATCCAGGTCCCTGCTACCAAAGTCAAGGTCACAAAGAAATGTCAAAGTTTGTGTATGGGGACCATTTAATCATTATTTATTGATGTATTGTAACAAATGATAACTATCATGACTACTGGTGTGTCACATGTTATTTAGGTTAATATTTTTTGTTAAGTCAAGGTCACTAGAGATGATAAAATATCCAGATATTTTCCAGATATTGCCTTGAGCAATTATCTCCTATATGCATATCTATAATGCCAAAATCTCTGTCAAAGGCTTTTGTGACGGGCATATTTTGCGACAATGTTGCCCTTGTTTAGTAAAATTTGGCATTTAATAAGCATATGAAGAGACCTTGCTTTGGACCCACTAGGTTCAAAGTCAAGGTCACTGTTAGATTTTAAAAAAAAAGGTTTCTTGAAGAAAACTTGAAGGTAACTCAAAAGGTTAAGTTGGTGGAATTTTGTATGAATCACCATTATTGATAGCCCTTATACAGATACATTTACCACTTCTTTAAGCTTACCATCTAGTTTGTTTGCTCTATTGGGAGAGGGTTTGATTGTAAATCTAAACCTTGAGGTACAAGTCACTTTAGTTGTAACTGATCATAAAGTCCTGTCTACAATTATTCCCATTGTACCTCTGATCAGGCATGTTCAAAAGTTACATTAGTTCCTTGGAAAAGTGAAGCCCTTGTAAACTGTTTGACAGACAGCCCAGGACAAGACTGATGATGTGATTGTGCTCTTGGGAATTCAATTTAATGTCATTCTGCCATGATCCTAAGGGTTAACTTAAAAAAAACCACCCGCACTTTTAAAGGCACAGCTTAGGTATCTCTATTGTCTTGTAGCAAGAAATTAGTAATGTATAGCATATAGCATTTATATCTCTGCAATTTTATAAATGTTTCCCTTTTGGGAGTTCACTTATTATCTTTAAGGATAATTGATATTCAATGTGATACTGACCAGTTTAATGAATGGGTCTCTTTTCTGCATCAAAAATTATTTTTGATTCCTGGAACAAATTTGCATTAGGGTGTTTATTGGCCCAACTTCTATGGTGCTTTTGATAAAAGTTTTGGTCACCAGAGAAATTACAATAATTTTTAGCAATCTTTCTATAGGTTTTGAACTCTGCTAACATACACAACTTTCTGTCTTTTATCTTTAGAAATGATCAATTACACATTGGATGGTAGTTTGAAGTATCTACTGGAAAATATGGAACCGATGTTAATTCATACATGTTTCACAGAAAGGCATATGTTTGAGTACATATTATTGCGGAATATTTCTGTAAGTATTAGCTCAAAACATTGCTGGAAGTTGTATTTTAATAATCAGATGACACACTTCTCGTGAGAACAACACAGTTACACTATGTGTTCATAATTTTAAGAAATTTTGGTGACTTCTTAAAAAGAAAAAAATGCAGGGGATAAATACCAGAAACTACATATGATATTAATTAAGTTACCTACATATTTTTATCAAATAAAAATACTCTAAATCCTGAGAAAAACACTGTCAATTTGCCAATTTTTAACATAGTTTGTTCTAGCAAAAACTCGGGTTCACAATTCATTATACATTATTATTATTATTAATTACAATATATCAATGGTAATTAGACAGCAGATGATTATTTTAATGTGAATTCCCATTCTGCCCCTTTAGTTGATACTTTTCAAAATTTCAATATTTAAAAAGGAGGAGACAGAAACTGGCTGTTCTCTGAAACTTTGTATTTACTTAAAGGCTGTTAAGCTAGACAAAGAGAGGTACATGCTTGTTAAAGACTTGCTAAATTCTTGGAAATTGGGGGACCCTTTTCAAGCACATTATTTATATTCTGTCTGAACTAATGGCTTAATTTTCACACTTACTTATCAATACAATGTCCGTCTGTCCATCCGTTGTCTTGTTCGGAGAATAACTTGAAAACCCTTGGAGATAATTTGTTTAAACTTCATACAGTGGTAGAGGGCATTTAGGGGGAGTGCAGTGTCAAAGAACCATAACTCTACTTTTCCCGGTTTTTTAATTATCTCCCCTGATAGAAAAATCTTGTCCGGGACATAACTCTAAAAGTATAAGAGATATCAACAAAAGGTTAACACTGAATAGTTTCAGTGCCTTGAACTTTGTTTAAAAATGGTTTGTGTTAACATTGAGTAGTTTTAAGGGCTTTGAACTTAAAATGAAAAACATAATTTGTGCAAAGAAATTTGGAATTAAATATTATAACTTCTGAAATTTTGGCTGCATGCGGGAACACATCTCTAGTTTTTTAGCTCACCTGAGCTTATGCTCAGGGTGAGCTATTAGGATCACTCTTCGTCCGTCGTCCGTCGTACGTCGTCCGTCGTCCGTCGTACGTTGTCCGTTCACACTTTTCAAACGACATCTCCTCTGAAACCATAAGGCAGATCATAATGAAACTTCACAGGGATGTTCCTTGTGTGAAGCCTTAACAAAGTTGTTCAAAGAATTCCATTCCATGCAGAACTCTGGTTGCCATGGCAACCAAAAGAAAAAACTTTAAACATCTTCTTCTAGATAACCCAAAGAGCTAGAGCTTAGATATTTGGCATGAAACATCTTCTAGTGAGTGTCTACCAAGATTGTTCAAATAAAAGCCCTGGGGTCAAAATTGGCCCCGCCCCAGGGGGTCATTGATTTTCCCTATATGCATATAGTAAAAACTTAAAAAAATCTTCTTTTAAAGAACCCAAAGAGCTAGACCTAAGATATTAAGCATGAAACATCTTCTAATAAGTGTCTACCAAGATTGTTCAAATAAAAGCCCTGGGGTCAAAATTGGCCCCGCCCCAGGGGGTCATTGATTTTCCCTATATGCATATAGTAAAAACTTAAAAAAATCTTCTTCTAAAAAACCCAAAGAGCTAGAGCTTAGATATTTGGCGTAAAACATGTTCTAATGGATGTCTACCAAGTTTGTTCAAATAAAAGCCCTGGGGTCAAAATTGGCCCAGCCCCAGGGGGTCATTGATTTTCCCTATATGCATATAGTAAAAACTTAAAAAAATCTTCTCTTAAAGAACCCAAAGAGCTAGAGCTAAGATATTAAGCATGAAACATCTTCTTATCAGTGTCTACCAAGTTTGTTCAAATAAAAGGCCTGGGGTCAAAATTGGCCCCGCCCCAGGGGTCATTGATTTTCCCTATATGCATATAGTAAAAACTTAAAAAAAATTCTTTTAAAGAGCTAGAGCTAAGATATTTAGCATGAAACATATTCTAATGGGTGTCTACCAAATTTGTTCAAATAAAAGCCCTGGGGTCAAAATTGGCCCTGTCCCTTGGGTTATTGATTTTCCCTATATACATAGAGTAAAAAGTTAAAAATCTTCTATTAAAGAACCAAAAGAGCTAGAGCTAAGATATTTAGCATGAAACATGTTCTAATGGATGTTTACCAAGTTTGTTCAAATAAAAGCCCTTGGGTCAAAATTGGCCCTGCCAGGGAGAGGGGGGAGGGGGCAAAAGTCATTGTTATTCATTATTTGTGTATAGTAAAAACTTAACATCATGAAATATCTTTTAATGGGTGTCTTCCTAGTTTGTTCAAATAAAAGCCCTTTGGTTTAAACTGGCCCGGCCCTGGGGGCCTATGTTCAGGTGAGCGACCCCAGGGCCATCATGGCCCTCTTGTTTAAATTACTTTCTGTCTGACAAAATAAATATATGATTACGCATAGTAACCGAACAAAATTGTATTTCTGTCTCTCATGAAATTAGTTAAAATATTCATACCTTTATTATTACAAATGCAAAATAGGAAATAATAAAAAAAAGAAAGTGGAATAAATGAAATGAAAATATTTCGAATAAAAAGTAATATAAATAAATCAATCAAATAAAAAACTTATTATCATAATGTAGTTTCGTACATGAAGGAGGAATAAAAAACATAACTAAAAAAATAACAAACCGAAAAACAATTTGAAGCCTGTTACCCTCCTGCCACGAGTAGCTTCTTTCTGAACTTAGTGCTCTCCCGACTGAGCTATTGCGATATTTGTTAT